CAAGGGGCACACGCACTAGGGGACACAGGCGGAAACTGAGTGCCCAAATGAGCCACAGAGATATTAGAAAGAACTTGTTTAATGTCAGAGTGGTGGACAAATGGAATGCATTAGGAAGAGATGTGGTGGAGGCTGACTCCATACACAGTTTCAAGTGTAGATATGATAGAGCCCAGTAGGCTCAGGAATCTGTACTCCTGTTGATTGACGGTTGAGAGGCGGGACCAAAGAGCCAGAGCTCAACCCCCGCAAACACAACTAGGTGAGTACAACTAGGTGAGTACACACACACTTGTGTCTGCAGGATCAAACCTCGATCCTGCAGACACAAATAGGCCATTACAAATAGATGAGCACACACACAGACACTGGCTCTTCTAGCCGGGGACCAAAGAGCCAGAGCTCAACCCCCGCAAGCACAACAAGATGAGTACATCATTTTTTCAAAGACAACGACTCGATACTATTACAAAGAATGCAAACGACAGTTTTGTAATTTCATTTTCTGACGTCAGATGTATTTTTAAATCTTGGATATCATTCCACTCACCACCTGCAGCATGTTTTCGTTGACGCTGTTAAATTGCATTATCAGGCAATGTTGCACAGATGTACAATATTCATCTATGAAAATGATATACAGGGTTTGACGTGACTGCTAAAGAGGGTGGTTGGCGATGATTCAATTTCGTATAATTACTTCCGCCTTTAACATCTTGTACGGGAATTAAATGTGTTTCTCAGTGAGAGAGAGAGAGAGAGAGAGAGAGAGAGAGAGAGAGAGAGAGAGAGAGAGAGAGAGAGAGAGAGAGAGAGAGAGAGAGAGAGAGAGAGAGAGAGAGAGAGAGAGACAGACAGAGAGAGAGAGAGAGAGAGAGAGAGAGAGAGAGAGAGAGAGAGAGAGAGAGAGAGAGAGAGAGAGAGAGAGAGAGAGAGAGAGAGAGAGAGAGAGAGAGAGAGAGAGAGACAGAGAGAGAGAGAGAGAGAGAGAGAGAGAGACAAAGAGAGACAGAGTTGAAAAAGAGAGTGAAGGAAAGGAGGGGTCAGAGAGAGAGAGAGAGAGTGGAAGAAAGAGAATAGAGGGACAAAATAAATATATGGAACCTTAAGAGAAGAATAACACAGGCACACACAGACACATAGAAACGCGCGCGCGCACACACACACTCACACACACACAAGCGGTGGAGGCTGACTCCATACACAGTTTCAAATGTAGACAGAGCTCGAGAAGCTCAGGAATCTGTACACCAGCAGATTGACAGTTGAGAGGCGGGACCAAAGAGCCAGAGCTCAACCCCCGCAAACACAACTAGGTGAGTACAACTAGGTGAGTACAAGGAGAAGCCCCTGTACTAAAAGAGTAGGTACAAAAGCAAAGGTAAAAGGTACTTTTACGAAGGAAAGCAAAGGTACTTCATTGAATAAGGGAGTACCTAAGTAACAGAAGACAGCGAGTCACCGTGAGGGGTGAGGCCTCGGATTGGCGAGGAGTCACCAGTGGAGTCCCACAGGTGTCAGTCCTTGTACCTATACTGTTCTTGATATATGTAAATGATCTCCCAGAGGGAATAGACTCGTTCCTCTCATTGTTTGCTGATGATGCAAAAATTGTGACGAGGAATAAGATCGAGGAAGATAGCATGAGGCTACAAGATGACCAAGGTCAGAAAGTCCAACAAATGGTAACTAAAATTCAACCCAAGTAAATGTAAGGTAATGAAACTAGGCGGAGGGAACAGGAGGCCAGACACAGGATACAGAATGGGAGATGACGTCCTTCATGTAATGGCCAGAGATAAAGATCTAGGAGTTGATATCACGCCAAACCTGAAGACCACATCCAAAGCGTATCATCAGCGGCCTATGCAAGGCTGGTTACCATCAAAACTGCCTTCAGAAACCTGTGTTAGAAATAATTCAGAATCTTGTATACTACATATGTAAGACCAATCCTGGAGTATGCAGCCCCAGCATGGAGTCCATACCTTGTCAAGTATAAGTCGAAGTTTAGAGGTATGCCACTAGATTAGTCACAGAACGAAGAGGCATGAGTTACGAGGAAACCCTACGTGAACTGCACCTCACGTCGCTGGAAGACAGAAAAGCTCGTGGAGACATGATCACCACATACAAAATTATCAGGGGAATTGACAGGGCAGATAAGGATGGATTATTTAACACGGGTGGTACACGCACATGGGGGACACAGGTAGAGACAGAGTACCCAAATGAGCCACAGAAACATTAGAAAGAACGTTTTCAGTGTCAGAGTAGTTGGTAAATAGAATGCATTAGGAAGTGATGTGGTGGAGGCTGACTCCATACACAGTTTCAAATGTAGACAGAGCTCGAGAGGCTCAGGAATCTGTACACCAGCAGATTGACAGTTGAGAAGCGGGACCAAAGAGCCAAAGCTCAACCCCCGCAAGCACAAAGAGGTGAGTACCTGAGCTTCTCGAGTACAACTTGGTGAGTACAACTTGGTAAGTACACACACAATTCAGACTTCATACTCATTATGTGAGTGTTAGTCGATCCCATACCTGTCCTTCTAGTGGTTGTGAATTCCTTACCTATCCTTTGAGTGGTGGTGGTGGACCCTCTACCCATCCTGTAGGTGAGGACCCCATAGACTACTATCTAATGAAGTCGCTGAAACCTGGGTGACAAACTACGTAGATTATATATTCTAAGATATCTGAATTGTCACAAATTATGATGCAACAAATACCTGCTGGGTGTGATACTTGCATGAAAACACCTGTTATACCTTTATTGTATACTGCAGCATGCATTTGTCGCTGATTGCTTTTGTTAATGTATACATATATATATATATATATATATATATATATATATATATATATATATATATATATATATATATATATATATATATATATATATATATATATATATATATATATGACAGTGTCAGACCACGGAGGAAAATTGAAACAGGAATTTCCTTAAGTACTTTCGTATATTAATACATCTTCAGAAGTAGTGGAATTAATATACTTTTCGTATATTAATACATCTTCCACTCCTTCTGAAGATGTATTATTATACGAAAGTACTTAGGGAAATTCCTGTTTCAATTTTCCTCCGTGGTCTGACACTGTCCAGTTTTAATCACGTGTTTATTTTTCGTGATTTACACACAAAATATATATATATGTTGTTGAATATGACCGAAAGAGTAAGATTAATGATTCTAACACGAATCTTCTCAATATTTCTTGTTTTTCTTCAGTCTCGAGGGAAGTTGAAAATTTAACTCTCCAAAGTTCATTTTCACAATTTATTACAGACCATATAGATTTATTACAGACCATATAGATTTATTACAGACCATAATAAATTGTGAAAATGAATGACACCTTCACTGAACACTCGTTTTCTATCTGCGGTTTTCCACATTTGTACATTTATCTCTTTCAAAGGACTGACTTATCTATATTAAACGCTGAAAATAGCGATGAAGTGGTAGATAGAGGAACTTGACGCTAATTTTAAATAAATAGCTACATACGTTTCGTGCAGAAATATATGTAGACGCTCACATTACTAACCACTTGGGCCGGACGGTAGAGTCTCGCTTCATGCTGGTCGGCGTTCAATCCCCGACCGTCCAAGTGGTTGGGCACCATTCCTTCCCCCCCCCCCCCCCCGTACCATCACATATCCTTATCCAGATCCCTTCCAAGTGCTATATAGTCGTAATGGCTTTTTGCTTTTCCCCCCTGATAATTCCCTCTTCCCTTGCGTTTCTGGCTCTCTTGTACACTTACGTATTCATATTTTCTGGTCACTGTTTCAATCAACCCTCGAACCTTGGGAAATTTCTGGGCACAAGCGTGGCAGGTGTGCAAGGAGCTGTCTGGGGGATTTCACCTGGTCAACAATGGCTACCTGGGGATTTCCTGAGAATTTCACCTGGTCAGAAATGGCTACCTGGGGATTAGTTGGCCAAGATGCAACCCGCCACCTGGATGATTACAACTCATGACCAGGATTTATCAAGCATTTACTCTACTATTTACCAAACTTGTAAACATTTCTCTAATCATAACGGGTTTGTTTACATTTAATCAAACACCTTATAAGCTCCGAAGTGGCAAGAGGTTATATATAACAATAACATCCTTGGGTTGTAACGATTCTAAGCTTGTAAACTGTTCAAACAAACGAACAAACAAACACGAAGCCGCCAAGGAATAAGGGAACAAGTACAGGTCTTGTAAGGGGTTGCGTTAATGCTTGAGGAAGCGTGGTCCAGGTACTTGAAGATTGAATGGTGGTGTTCCGTGTTCCGGGGCGGCTTGTGTGTGTGACTGAAGGAGCACAAAGGTGTGCTGGGGGGATGAGGAGCTGGTTTGGAGGAGCAGGTGTGGGTAGCAGGTATGGGGAGCAGATATGGGGGAGCAGGTATGGGGAGCAGGTATGGGGAGCAGGTATGGGGAGGAAGTATGGGGAGGAGGTATGGGGAGCAGGTATGGGAAGCAGATATGCGGAGCAGGTATGGGGAGCAGGTATGGGAAGCAGATATGGGGAGCAGGTGTAGGAAGAAGGTATAGGAAGCAGGTATAGGGAGAAGGTATGGGGAGCAGGTATGGGAAGCAGGTATAGGAAGCAGGTATGGGGGAGCAGGTATGGGAAGCAGGTATAGAGGAGCAGATATCTAGCTCCAGAACACCGTCACTGGTCAGCCAGCTTCCTCTATCTGCCACTCCGTAACAAATACAACTATTTTACCCAACCCAAAAACGTACAAACCCCAAACTACTAAAGTAACCCCCTCGGGGCCGGTGAACGGAAAACGGAAACATTATGTTCCTTTCATTACCAATAATGCGTCCCATTTTCTACCATAAATCTTTCAGGACTAACTCTGATATCTAACTCCTTCTGTTCCTCTTGCAGCCATGATGAGGGTCGCTGGAATGGACGGTAGAGTGAGTGACGCGTCACCAACCCACCTACGCCCACTGGGGACACACGCCCACCTACGCCCACTGCAGGTTCAACATCAGCTTGGTCCTACGAGCCACTCTCGTCAGCCAATCAGGCCGTGATTGGCACTGATCTTGGTGTACAGAGCCACAAACTCTCCCGGCACTGGGCGATAAAGTATATTTCGTGTACTCACGTCTTGAGTGTGTTTTGATATCTGTGGGAAAAGTGTTCCCACGACGTCTATACTGTGAGTGCGTTGTGTATACTGTGAGTGCGTTGTGTGTATGCTGTGAGTGCGTTCGGTGTTAAGCTAGAAGCAACGTTAAGTGCATAAGACTTGGAACTGTGCCTGACTCAAGCAGAGAGTCCGTAAGTGTGTACAGTCAAGAGCCACTGCTCAAGTCCGTTTCAGCACTCAAGGGATCATTCTCTATAGTGTATAAGTACATCAATAAAAACATTCCTTCACAGAATTATAAACGCTTAACCAGCGTTTAATTGCTTGGATTTTTTTTTTTTATATTGTGGAAAACTAAATCCTTCAATGGCATTAGTGTAACGATTCTTCGTTTAGTGAACGAATATGCTGTAAGTGTGTCAGTTGCACTTGTAAAAAGAGATGAGTGCATCGTCTCTTTGAGTGCAAGTGTCTTCCCGCGATGGACAGCACTCTCTGAAACACTTTAAGACATACAGAAGACATTCAACCTGAACCATGCCACCTTCTCTGCCAGTACCCACTGAGGAACCCCAGTACCTCGCTCCGGACACACTCGACCCGATGAACCCGCTGGACCTCGAACCCGAGGACCCGGACCTGATGGATCTGGATCCAGACTCACCCGTGATGACGGAACTCCGGAACACCCTCTGGAACAAGTTCATGGAGCAATCGACGGTGCTCAACTCTACCGACGAGGATCACAAGGTGCTTAAATGCTTCCAGGAATACGTCCATTCCATAGCGGAGCCCTCTGGGTACCCTGGTTCATGCCCGGTCAAGTTCGACGGCGTCTCCTGTTGGCCAGAGACGGCTCCGGGGGCGCTCAGGGTCATCCCTTGCTTCAATGTGTACAACGGCGTCTACTACGACCCTTCAGGTAAGTTCATTCCTTTGCCCTGTACCTTAACTCTTGTGATTATAGATTAAGGGAAAGTATTCTATATTTTCTATATAGAGCTCCACCCCTTAGTAAAGTCTAGGAGGGGTGGGGGGTTTATTAGGGGAAAGCGCCAAGCCATTACGACCACTTCTTGGAAGGGGTCAGGATAAGGATTTGGGATGGGACGGAGGGATAGGAATGGTGCTCAGCTCAGTTGATTAAGGCAGCGTCTGGGAATCCTTTCGGACGTAGGTTCGAGCCCCCGTCACGGCCCTTGTGGATTTGTTCATTTGATGCATCACGCTATTGTGATTTCTTTGTGTAATGGTGCCCAATTACTTGGACGGTCGGGGATTGAACGCCGACCTGCATGAGAACTCTTGTTTCACTGTATTTAGTTAATACTGTATTTGTAATCTGTATTTGTATTTAATCTGTAATCTATAATGCAATCTGTATTTGTTAGTTTTGTTAGTCTTGTTATTGTACGTTTAATTTCATTACATTATTCAAGTATTTATCTTGGTTTGTTTAGCATTTTCTTGAGTTTATGTTTCAATCATATTTATCTGATTTTCTTGTGTCAGTAATGATTATTATTATCTACACCGGTCATTGTGGTGAACCATTCGCAGTGTCACTGATTTCCCGTGTTCGATACCCCGATGATCCTGGCGAGTGGAATATACTTTGTATGCTCACATACGTGAATACATGTATACTCTACGGCTGGGACACAGAGGTATACCTCATTAAACTCAATATAACATCCACTTTGGCAACAAACCCACTACTCTAATTCACCCACTACTCTAATTCACCCACTACTCTAATACACACACTACTCTAACCCACCCACTACTCTAACCCACCCACTACTCTAACACACCCACTACTCTAACCCACACACTACTCTAACCCACCCACTACTCTAACCCATACACTACTCTAACCCACCCACTACTATAACCCACACACTACTCTAACCCACCCACTACTCTAATTCACCCACTACTCTAATACACACACTACTCTAACCCACCCACTACTCTAACCCACCCACTACTCTAACCCACCCACTACTCTAACCCACACACTACTCTAACCCACCCACTACTCTAACCCACCCACTACTCTAACCCACCCACTACTCTAACCCACACACTACTCTAACCCACCCACTACTCTAACCCACCCACTACTCTAACCCACCCACTACTCTAACCCACCCACTACTCTAACCCACACACTACTCTAACCCACACACTACTCTAACCCACACACTATTCTAACCCACCCACTACTCTAACCCACCCACTACTCTAACACACCCACTACTCTAACCCACCCACTACTCTAACCCACACACTACTCTAACCCACCCACTACTCTAACCCACCCACTACTCTAACCCACCCACTACTCTAACCCACACACTACTCTAACCCACCCACTACTCTAACCCACCCACTACTCTAACCCACCCACTACTCTAACCCACCCACTACTCTAACCCACACACTACTCTAACCCACACACTACTCTAACCCACCCACTACTCTAACCCACCCACTACTCTAACCCACCCACTACTCTAACACACCCACTACTCTAACCCACCCACTACTCTAACCCACACACTACTCTAACCCACCCACTACTCTAACACACCCACTACTCTAACACACCCACTACTCTAACCCAAAATACTTACCAAGGGAATTAATTCAGACAAAGAAATAGTTGGATTTTTTTCACTTTCCTTTTCTGGAAGTAAAATATGAAACGGAAGAGTTCCTTTTCAAACTTTAAATTTAATTAAGACAATAAAAAGGTTACTGAGTGTGTAAGAGGGATGATGCTGGAGGCTGAGGACAGGAGATGATGATGCTGACGAGGATAGGGGGTAGAGGTAAGGTAATTATGAGGAGAAAGCGCAAAGCCAGTGTGACTACACAGGTTTTGAGAGGGATATGAGGACAAGGAGCTGGGATATGAGGACAAGGAGCTGGGATATGAGGACAAGGAGCTGGGATATGAGGACAAGGAGCTGGGATATGAGGACAAGGAGCTGGGATATGAGGACAAGGAGCTGGGATATGAGGACAAGGAGCTGGGATATGAGGACAAGGAGCTGAGATATGAGAACAAGGAGCTGAGATATGAGGACAAGGAGCTGGGATATGAGAACAAGGAGCTGAGATATGAGAACAAGGAGCTGAGATATGAGGACAAGGAGCTGAGATATGAGAACAAGGAGCTGAGATATGAGGACAAGGAGCTGAGATATGAGAACAAGGAGCTGAGATATGAGGACAAGGAGCTGAGATATGAGAACAAGGAGCTGAGATATGAGGACAAGGAGCTGAGATATGAGAACAAGGAGCTGAGATATGAGGACAGAGTTAAAAGAAGAGAACAGAGATTGAGGATAAGTCTTAATCTTTCTCCTTTCTTCCACTCGCTTCTTGCCCATTACTTCTTCACTCTCTCCCTTTATCTGACATCTCTCTCTTTCTCTCTCTCTCTCTCTCTCTCTCTCTCTCTCTCTCTCTCTCTCTCTCTCTCTCTCTCTCTCTCTCTCTCTCTCTCTCTCTCTCCTTCCCTCCCATCACTCACACCCTTCCACCACCCCCACCCAATATCTCCCCCCCCCCTTAACATCGTAAGTTGTAAATCATATGTCGTTGATTTACAACAACGTACAAAAATGCAACTGTTTTGCCTTACCAGAAACGTACAAACCCAAGCAACCCGCTTAACCCTACATCGACGCATAACAAGTATCAACATTACCACGCATTAATTTTCACTAAGAGTCGTATTTGTTAAATAAATTGGTAGATTACGTTATAAAAATGCGACGTATTAGGAGAGAGAACTGGATTAGGTTCGTTCATCATGGGTTGACTTTTGTTAGGTGAAAGTTTTAATGTGTGTGTGAAAAGGACAGAACGTTTGTTTAAAACGTTCACAACGTTCTCAGTGATGATAGCATACCGCCTATTCTGGTGGAAGGGGAGGGAGCTAGCAGAGGAAATGCCAAGCCATTGCGACTATATAGCATCTGGGAAGGGGTCGGGTCAGGATAAGGATGTGGGATGGGACGGGGGGGGTGTAAGGAATGGTGTCCAACCACTTGTGGACGGTCGGAGATTGAACGCCGACCTGCATGAAGCGAGACCGTCGCTCTACCGTCCAGCCCAAGTGGTTGGGCTTACGCTGGTATAAGTCTTTATTAAAGACATTATCGTCCCATACTCCCTGTATGTGATGCTAATCTTAAACTCCCTGAAATGTTGTGTTAGAAAGTTCCTGTTTGTTACTTCTACCACCATTTTAGGGAGTGGACAGCACGCTGGACTTGTGATCCTGTGGTCCTGGGTTCGATCCCGGGCGCTGGCGAGAAACAATGGGTAGAGTTTCTTTCACCCTATGCCCCTGTTACCTAGCAGTAAAATAGGTACCTGGGTGTTAGTCAGCTGTCACGGGCTGCTTCCTGGGGGTGGAGGCCTGGTCGAGGACCGGGCCGCGGGGACACTAAAAAAAGCCCCGAAATCATCTCAAGATAACCAAGATAACCTCCAGATAACCAAGATAACCTCCAGATAACCAAGATAACCTCCAGATAACCAAGATAACCTCCAGATAACCAAGATAACCTCCAGATAACCAAGATAACCTCCAGATAACCAAGATAACCTCCAGATAACCAAGATAACCTCCAGATAACCAAGATAACCTCCAGATAACCAAGATAACCTCCAGATAACCAAGATAACCTCCAGATAACCAAGATAACCTCCAGATAACCAAGATAACCTCCAGATAACCATCACTCTCCGTGGCGCTTCTTACACCGTGAATTCAATGTTTCCCTGTCAGTTACTCCAGAATTAAAGTCTCCCATTACTAGTTATTTTTATTAATACATTTAGGTAAATCTGGATTTGTGCAGCTGCCCTGGACGATATGAAGGAGAGTACAGAGTCAAAAACTAGCTACGTGATGCTAAAAGTCCCCATCTCGCAGGATCTATCTTGAGGTTATCTTGACATGATTTCGGGGCTTCTTAGTGTCCCCGCGGCCCGATCCTCGACCAGGCCTCCACCCCCAGGAAGCAGCCCGTGACAGCTGACTAACACGCAGGTACCTATTTTACTGCTAGGTAACAGGGGCATAGGGTGAAAGAAACTCTGCCCATTGTTTCTCGCCGGCGCCTGGGATCGAACCCACGACCAAAGGATCACAAGTCCAGCGTGCTGTCCGCTCGGCCAACCGGCTCCCTGTTAGTCCCCTGTTAGGATGGTTAGTCATACAGGGCCGTATGTTCAGTAGTCTGCACTGGCAAACTCTGGGTGCATTATGAGGATATCCTCAACAACACGAGCGGTAATAAAGCATTTGCGGAGCTCCAGGTACCTCATGCCAACGGGTCTGAAAGGTCTAATAACTGGGCATTCGGTGATGTAGTGTGGGAGATCATGCCGCAGTTCCTGCTCAGAGAGTTTGCACCTGGAGTGCTCAGGATTGGGAGACCCGTCACCTGAACCCAACCTGATCCTGGCCACCACCGGTAGCTCAGGAAATCTAAGGAAAATCTAAGTAAAGTTTCAGCCAATCTTGGACGCCAGCCATGCAAACTGCTTACATCCTTGTCTGGACCTTCTGCGGGTCTCTGGAAGGTTCCAGATCACTACCTCAACCGCTTTTCCGCCTTTCGCAGAGATATTTCAGTTTCCTCCTCGAAACAGTTTTATTAAGTAAAGTCTTGTCTCTTGGCCAACAGCACTCTTGCTACCTCTTATTTCCCGGGAAATATTGCATTAAGTCTTCATTGTTATGTTGTCCTTTGTTTGGGCAGCTCCCAACCTGGAGGGGGGGGGGGAAGACGGGCACCAGGGGGGGGGGGAAGACGGGCACCAGGGGGGGGGAAGACGGGCTCCAGGGGGGGGGGGGAGACGGGCACCAGGGGGGGGGGGGGAAGACGGGCTCCAGGGGGGGCAGACGGGCTGCAAGAGACGGTCCCTATCTTACTGGTGGCTGACTATAACTCTCTTATCACATAT